AGACTGGCAGAGCAGCACAGCAAAGCTTGGCAGGGACACAGCACTCGTTAAATGCATTGCCTCCGAGTGCTCCAGAGAAAACTGGGTCAAGATTTCCCAAAGACAGGAGCTCGATGCTCGCCTCCCTGTCGCAGCAAGCTCCGTCCTGGCAGAGCAGGAGGTGAGCAGGGACAGTGGGGACTCTGCCCTCGGAGAAGCTGGGCACGATGGAGCAGTCAGAGAGGGGATGCGACCTCCTCCTCCTCCTCCTCTCTGCAGCCAGAGGTGCTCCAAGGATGGCTGGTGCTTCCAGGAGCACTACCTACCCAGCAATTCCCACCAACACACACACCTCTGAAAAAAGCAGGCTGAGTCACTATCTGAGCATCACCTGGAAGATTTGCTCCGTTCCTTGCTCTGTTCCAAGCACCTTTTGGGACCCAGTGAAGTTCTGCATCACTGCACACTGTCCCGGTCAGAAGGACAACAGTGTAAACAAGTGTTGAGGTGCTTACCATCACAGAAAAAGAACCTCAGAGGAGTAGTTTTGATACGCTGAATTATGGGCCCCCGAAAAAGGCATCTCGCACAGCCCTGCTCAGCCCCTAAACCCCCCCAGCTCCATGGCTGCAGAGCAATTTGGGAAGCTCCTGCCTTTGCAGTTCCCCTGAGCGTCTTCTTTGCTGTGCAAGTGGGAGCAACACGGGTTTGACACAGCCTGACAGCAGACAGCAACTCCTTACATCCCTCAGCATGGGCCACGAGCTGCTCCCTGCATCACTGCCCAGCTGCTCACAGAAGGATCCAGCCCTGTCACCCCAGAAGGGCTGCAGGAGCAGGAGGGATGAACACGCTCCCTCCTGCACAGCTCTGCAGCCCAGCACACCCTGTAACCCCTTTTGCCAATATATATATTTTTTTTTAATTAAAAAGAAACCCATTAGGAAACTCAGGCCCTGTGCTCAGGCATAATCTCTGCTCTCTCACTCTGGGTGGTGCCACCCACCCCATTTCTTCAGGATTGTAGCAGTTGGCAGTCACCTGTCACAAGACAGGGCTATGGGGTATCGGGCAAAGAATCTGCCATCCTAAAAATGCTTCTGCAGCTTGTCTTCTTTTTCATTTTCCTCCCCTCCCAGCCCCCACCCCAGCCACTTAGTTTTGCCAGTATCCCAAGACATCTTTAAATTCTCACAAGAAAGAAATTGCCACTACCAAATCCCTGACCAGGATGCCAAGATCTCATTCCCGAGTGCACGTGTTTGGGGAAAAACTCTATTTTAAAAAAGTTCCTTTCCTGCAAAGCTTAAAGACCTTCAGAGGAATTAGAGAGAGAGCTCCACCCTAGGCCTTACTGTTGAAAAGCTGGTTTTGGAGCTAATTTGGGAAAGGCCTGACTCACTCTTCTAAAATGCCCAGGACTCATCTTCCTGCTGATGCTGCAGGAGCAGAAGAGATGCCAGCCAGCTCCTGTTATCACCTCTGTGGGACTGGCTTGCGATTAAAGACATCTAAGTTGCAAAGCACGGAGGGAACAACATATGGACAGGAGCAAGGGACTGCTTTTCCAGCCTCTCTTTTTCAGACCGTAACTGCATTTGCAAGAGGATCCCAGAGCCGCAGTGCAGTTCTTATTCAGTGCTATTAAACTTCATTAACTGATATATCGTTTCATGTTGACTCAACGACTCTTAAACCCTCTTCCAAGGGACTTCCTTGAACATGCTGTAAATTGCCAGTAACTGCCTTCCACTGGGAGCAAAAGGCTCCAGCCCCAATATGGTCCCACTCCCCCGCCCCAGGATGGAGCAGCACAGCAGGCAGTGATGCTCCCCACACTCAGGAGCCGGAGAACTCCTGTACCTATCCTCCTGCAAACCAGGGAAGGCAACCAGAGGGGCAGGGACTGCAAAAAAGCTGCTCTCCTGACTTTGCTCCAAAATGCGGAAGAAACCTCCCCAGCAAGTTCTAGATCTTCAGCAGAGAAAAAACTCAAAAAAAAAAAATTCCTCTCCCAGTGATCAAAGCGCTTCTTTGCCACAGAATTGACAGCTCTGCTTCCAGCTGAACGCTTTCAAGGTTCACATTGTCTTATGTAAACTATAATCCAAAATGATCTCAAATACAAAAAAAGCCCTCAAAATTCAAGCTTTTGGATCTAAAAACCAAACGGGTCATTTTGGCAGTGTATGGTTCTGATTTTTAGTGTTTCTTCCACCACCCCCCACCCCAAATTCAAATACTAGCAAGACCGACCTCCTTTCATAGAGCTCTTTGACTTTGATGCTGTGGCATACACAGATGGAATATATTTCTGCATATTCCAAGACACTCTGGGATAGCTTCACTCATGTAATTATTCAGATAAGCTAACCTGAAAGCGAGAGCGTGAGCTGCTCGTTTGCCAAGTTTGAGCAACTTTGCTTTCAAAGCATCAGTAGGCGTTTCCCCCATCGCAGGTGACAGCTGCCAGGCTGTGGTCCCCAAGCTGTCCCCACTGGGCAGTGGGAGCCCTGAGGGAGGCGAGGAAGGGTGGGAACAGCTCATAACCCAGGGCTTGGTCCCCCAGCTTCAGCCTTTTCAATTTGGGGAGGAACAGCACACGCATGGAGGGATGCTGAGATACAGCATTGGCAAGAGGGCTGGATGCCTTCATGACTAAGCTTGCATTGAATGTAGTAGCAAGACAGAGCTATGGGTTTGACATCAGTGGGTGAGGCAGATGAGAGGATAATCTCTGCTATGGGGTCTCCTCCACAATTGCAAACCTGGCCATCAACACAGCCTGGACAGCAGTGACTGCCCACGGGGCACCTTGGCACCTCCCCTGCAAACCAAAGTGCTCGTTTGCCCCCCCATCCTTTAAAACCAAGTGCACTTTAGGAGCAATTTCTAAATGACTGTGAGGTCGCGAGGGGATGGCTTTACTTTTAACAGCAAGGCAGGACCAGAGCAGCATCAGGCAGGATAATAGCAGGGCTGTATGAGTGGCAGGTGGGCCACCGTGCCGTCCATTTACTGCTCGCCTCAGCCAAGCGCCGGGTGCAATTATCTCAGGCCACCGTATCATCATAAAGCGCCTTTCTGCTGAAATTATAACGTGTCGCCTTTAATTACGCTAATTGTTAATAGGGATTCTAATTTTGGGTTCATTTTTCACTGTTAAAAAAATAATAGGCGAGGCAGCCCAGGCTTTTCTGCCTTCCCTGGGATTTCTCCCGCCAGCACTAATTGAAACGTCCCCCCGATCTGCGCCGCTCCGTGCTGACAGTGGTTTTGCCCCTTGTCATAAAATCAATGGTCTTCCCCTGCCCACCCCATGCCGGCTCCTCTCCGGCTGCCGGGGCTCCTTTTCCCACTTGCCGGCTCCCTCGGATCATCAGGGTTAAATGATCTTTTCATACCACCCGGCCGGACTGTCAGGAGGCATTGAGTGACTTTTGAAAATGAACCATGTTAAGTGGACTTGATGGGGGTTACAACCGCCATTATTGCTATCACCACCGTGATAAAATGGAGCCGTAATGACGGGGGAAGGTACTTATCACTGTCTTTTGTAGATCACTTAAGATGGTTTGGGTCTGAAGCTTCTCGCCGGAGATAAATGGAACGTACCAAAGACAAATGGCACCAGGACGGAGCTTCCTGCCACACAGGGGGACAAGAGACAGGAGCGACCCAGCTGCGGTGGCCACGTAAAACAATTAAACTCCCAAACCACACATTGCTTTTACCTACAGGAGCCATCAGAGGAGGAGCCCAAAGCTACCTGGGCAACAAGGTTTGCCCAGGCAGCTGCTGGCAGCTGGGTGCAGAGTATCAGAGTGGGAAATCATAGAATCATAGAATTGCCCAGGCCAGAAGGGACCTCCAAAGGTCATCTAGTCCGACCTCCCCACAGTCAGCAGGGACACCCCCAACTAGACCAGGTTGCCCAGGGCCTCGTCGAGCCTCTCCTTGAATATCTCCAGGGATGGGGCCTCAACCACCTCCCTGGGCAACCTGTTCCAGTGCTCCACCACCCTCACAGTGAAGAAAGAAATGGGAAATCAGTTCTTTGCCTTGCAGCCTGTCTGAAGGAATCAATAGCAACGCTACCCAAGAGCTGGTCCGGGAAACCAAAAGAGAGCCCTCCTGGCTCTCTGCTTCCCCAGTCCCTGACCAAGCTGTGGTGGGACACCAAGGAGCCCTTCCCTTCTCTCCACTGGGTTCCTTTCCATCCACTCTGGCCCAGGCTGGATGAGGAGCAACACCACACCTGGGGTAAGCATCCAGCCCCTGCAGCGTCCTCCATCCTTTCTCTTACCCCTACCCCCCAGAACAGGGGTGATTCCTGCTTCAGCAGAAGGAGCACAAGCAAAGCACATGCCCATCTACTTCAGCGCTCAGCTGGATCTACAGCACTGGACCATCAAAAAAAACATTTGTGCATCACAAAGTGAGATGTTAAAGGATTTCTCATGTGGCATTGCTAGAGAGAGAGAGATGTAATAGGAGAAAACCCTTTGTATGTTTATTGCTGTTGATCCTATCAGACAAAGCCAAACCTGAGCTGCCCAAGCTGCAGCCACAGTCTGCCCAGCACAGGCAGAGGAACAAGCTCCTGCCTACAGGAGCAGGGGAAAAGCCAGCAGGAGCCCACAGAGGAGCAGAGCACATCACAGGATAACAGAGAGCTCAAAGGGGGTCTCAAACCACCAGCAAAAGCAATGGAAAGTAGCCCCTAGCAGTCCAGCCCAGTTCAGCCCCAGTGGAGCAGTGCCAGCATCGAGGGCTCACACCCTGCTCACAGCCAGAAAAACCCAAATGGTACCAAACTCGCTGCCACATTTGAGCCGGGAGTCCAACAGTTTAAAACAGAAAAGGAAAATAGCATATGCTGGGAAAACACTAGATGAATAATGGGCAGTACCACCACACTGGAGCAACAAGAACCAGGGCAACATGCCCAAAACACACACTCCCCACCCCCCAAGCCACGCAGCAACCCCCCAGTCCCCACAGTTTTCCACTCACAGTTTGTGATCCACAAGCAGGAGAATCATTCCTGTGGGGGCTGATGGTTCTGCTACCCTCAGGTCTCCAGCGCTGTGTGGATGAGGGTCCCAGAACACTGGGCACCCCCAGGACACCCCCTAGTACCCTGAAAAAGAGGAGAAGGAGCCACTGAGAACTCCTTATATCACCTACTCGTCTTCCTCCCAACCACACCAAGCTGAGCTGTGTTATTTCATTATCACTTAAATGAGGTACAGGTGATACTCTGACCTCCCTGGCCACCTGGCAGCCCAGGTTGCTTTCTCCCTGCCCTGAAAGCATAGGATAAGACACCACCAAGGCCAGGCCACTCCAAAAGCACCAGCTCCAGCAAAAGCCCTGGGAAGGGAAAGGAGAGGATGGTGGGAGAGACAGGGATGCAGAAAAACACAGCAGCTCCTACATGAGTGGGCAGAGCAGATCCCTCCCAAGCCACCCTGCTCCCCACTACCATCAGCATTTTGTGAAAGTGGTTTCATCTGCAAAGAGACAAGATGTAAAAAAGAGCCCCTCTGCAAAGTGGCTGAGCCCGCAGGAGGAACCTTCAGGCAGGGAGAGGGGAGAGAATGGCTGAGGAGAGATAAATAAAAGGAAGAATCTGTCTGGGAAAGTTGGGAAGGGGAAAGAGCTGAAGCAAAAGACACTTTCTGGGAGTTGCAAGAACGCCATCGACTCAAGTCTCGTCACGAAGGACATGTCAGCTCCGTTTGGGCAGGAGACTGAGATGCCGGTCCTGGGGTACCTGTTTTCTCCAGCCCCCCGCTGGCCCCCCTTTCCTTGTCATGGCAATGGTAGCACCGCTGGCAATATTGACAGCCAGAGGGATTGCTCATTTCCCACAGCCCCACAAGGTAAATTAAAAAAAGGAAAAGTCAAAGCTATCTCTGGCTGCTCGCACTCGGGGAGTCTCAACTCAATACATCTTGGTTACTCAGAAAAGATGCTTATTAATAAGCCAGAAAGGCAAAGTTAGTTCTGCAGGCTGTGGGGTCACCAGTTAGGTGATCTCTTACTTCGTGGGGTTGGGTGCCTGGACAAAAACAGAGGCTCCAGTTAAGGCTGATTCTGCAACTCTTGCTCACATCAGTATTTTGTCTTGGCACGTGTAAAGCTGTTGAGATAAACCAGTATTTGCTTCATCCAATTATGTGATACCAATTGCACGAACACTGTCTCCCAAGCTAGAGCAAATATGGCAAAAATTTAGGTTTAGCTGCAAACCAGGCATGAGAAAAGCTGCAGTCAAAAAGCATGGAAAGTCTATGAAATTATATCCACCACAAAACTCTGTTTCCAGACTGACTTCAAGGCAGAAAAGCCTGCACAAGTCATACTGGTGGCCATGTGCCTTTTCTTCAAGCAAGGATTTCCTGCTGTTTTCTAACCTCAAGGCAAAAGAGAAAACATCCGTCCTTTCACCAACTTTGTTTCTGTTCCAGATGAAGAGCCGATCCTCCTCTTTTTCTTTTTTTTTTTTGGTGTCTCAATGTCACAAGATGGTCTCTGAAGCACTGCCTTCCACCGGCGCTGGTGGGACACAGCTCGTCTGGGGACAACCAGATACCACCTCGCCAGGGCTCTGCAGGAAAAGCTCGGCTGGAAACTGGCTGCAAATACTGGATCGTTCAGTTTTGCTCTGAGGCATGGACCAAATACGTGGTTTGGCAAACAAAAAAAGCTGTGAAGACAGAAGAGGGCTTTTGCCTTTGAGCCTGCATTTGGATGTCCCACGCTGGTTGTCAAACTGTCTTGGTGTGATGAGCCTGCTGAAAATGTTTGCTACAAGAAACATTGTTTGCATTAAAACTCACCAAAAAAATGGGGTTTCCCAAATGTTGATGTGGTTTCCCCATTCCATCAAACCCCAACTAGGAAAGTTCCCCAAGCCCCCAGCCCCAGTCACCCAAACACATTAGCTACATTTAGCTGTAGAAACACTCCGCTTTCCCCTTTCTTTCACTCTCCACAACCCCAGAAAGGAGGAAAAAAGCCCTCAGGGAACCAAACTGGATTTCAAGGTTTGCCTCCTCCTAGTGAACTGGTTGAAGGTGAGTAGAAAGCAGGCTGAGAAAGCTATAGGGTTATGCACAAGAAAGGAGGAGCCACTGCAGCCACCACGAGTTGCAAACAGCCTCCTGGAGAACTAGCTAGGACCTGCACAGCCCCTTTGCAGACCAGGCTGGGCAGGTATCATGAGGTAGAAGTTGAACCGTAAGCATGCAGCCCAATACACAGACCCTTCTGTGCCTCCAGAGACCCTTTAAATGATAGAAATGGTTGTCCCAGAAGGTTTAAATCTCATGCTACTGAGCAGCAGCCCCTGAAGACCTGAAAGAGCTGGTGGGTATCATGCCATGAGGGCTGGACCACCATATTATGGCCTCAATGGACCTCTGCTAGGTGGCCTTTCACTAAACCCATAACCTTTGTGCAGCATTGAGTATCCAGCAGCAACAGCATCTCCACCTCTCTGGGACCACGAGAAGCTAATTTCTGCAATGATCTCCTTCTGCAAGGGACTTTTACAGCTCTCACAGAAACATGCCTCTGGCCCACCTGACATCTTCCTCCCAGAGTTTTGCTTATTTTCCCTCTGCTGCCCAAAACCCCGCAGTAGAGCGAAACGCATCCAAACGGCTGAGGCTGTGATTTTCATGACACCGCTGCCTGGCTCATTTCTCTGCTGTCCTCTCAGTTTTGTGAAGGTTAAAGGCATCATTCCTTGGCGACTGTCAGACTGTTATCTGGGCTGGAACCGGCTACCCGAGCTCCACGAGGAATATTTTATGCAGATTCTCCACTGCACCTCGGATGGCTCATCAGTAACCAACCTGCGGCTGGTGCCACTTGGCTTTATTTCCTCCGAGCCCACCTTTTGCATCCTCGCTGCTTCCCTTCATCCCAGCCTCACCCCTTTTACAGGTGTAAAAAAAGTGGATTTCTACATGCATAAAACGTAAGGACTTTTCACTGGGCTGATGCAAGGGAGGGGAGGAAAGGCTGCTCTGTGCTGCTCTCAAGGGAGTTTTGGGGAAGGATTGGGGAGGGCTGGAATGGAGATAGGGGCTTTTTCCCTCTGGAAGACAGGAAGATCAGGAGACCCCGATTACTCTGCATCAGACTTTCAGTCCCAGCCCTCTCCACCCAAAAACCATTCCAGGACAGAGAAATCCCTGGCTTCCTGTGCCTTTTGCTTGGGAGCATGAAGAGAGCAGACAGGCAGCACTGGGCACCCAAACCAGTCTCCCTGCTGCCTTCTCCCAGCAGAGGGGTGCACGAAGAAGGGGAGGAGAGTCCAGCTTGCCCAGGCAGCTGCAATTCTGAGGCTGATTTTCACGCCCATGCCCCTGGCAAGCTAAATGACAGCCCGTTGCCATCCCAGCTGGCTGCCTGCTTTTTGGGTAGAGAATCGCCCAGGGTGGGAGCACAGCAGCCTGAGGAGCAGCTTGGCCAGGTGAGCCCAGGGTGGAGAAGGTGGAGGGCATGCACTCACCAGCATCCCCACCAGCCCACCTGAGCACCAGGGCAGAGCACACCGCTCAGGAGACTTTCCACTAAGCGCCGACTATAAATGTCATGGTTTCAGAGGGGGAAAGAAAACAGCTGGATTCGTCAGACAGCAGCATTGGCAGCTAAAAAAATACCATCTTTTAGTGTGCGAGCAGAGTATGGAGAGTGCGAGAATAAACAGGAGACCCTGTAGTAACATTTTTACAAGTCCCCTGGCTGACTGTTAGAGCCCTTTAACTAGAACATGACTGAGCATCCCCGTTTCGGGATCTCAGCAGCACGCCCAGCTCCTCCAGGGATCACCAGGCTTCAACGGCAGATGGATCCAGGCAACGAAGCTCACGACTGGATGGAAAGTCAGGAGGATTTGCTTTTGGACCCATCCCCACATCTAGTTTTAAACTGCGCTGGCATGAGAGGCTGTGCTCCTTTGGCCATGCTTCCCCGCAACCGTAAATCCAATTTTACGGCACCCAGTCCAAGCCTGGAAACAATGCGAAGCGCTGAACAGATATAAGCTCTTTCTGCTGCTTCACAAGATCTCCAAAGGGGCCAGGAAGACTTTCTGCTGAATCAGGTATTGTTTTGTGCTCCTGCCACTGGCAGGGAGCCAGATGCAGACCATATTGTACGAGCTGGGTAATTTGGCAAAAACGCGATCATGTGCTCACCCCTGATTCAGACCCAATTCCTCCCATGGGGTGACCGGGTAATGCGCAGATCTGGTATTAATTAACGGGAAACCACAGCCCTAGGCAGTGATCTGTCATCCTCTTTTGGATGCAGCTCATGTCTGCTAACGGCTTCCCCACCCTGCTCTCCCCCCTGGCCTGCCGGCAGGTACCACCTCAGCTCTGGGGAACCCCCAACTCTCCTTAATCAGACTGAAGACCCAGCTAACACAGTACCATGTCTCCAGGAGCTCCTGGGCATGCCTGCACCCCACAATGCCAGGGAAGGAGGGATTTGCTCATCTGGCCAGGAACAAGTTGGGGAGCAGCAGCGGCACCAAGCAGTGAGCTCTAGCCCAGGTCCCCATCCATGGCACAGCACCTCCAGCCGAGCCAGAGCTTGCTGATGGATCCAACAGCAGAGCCCAGGCAGTGCTGAATGCTTTGGGAAAAAAAAATATCTCCTGGGCTCCAACAGAAAAGGCAGCGCTGGTACCCAGCGTGCCAGAGATTAAGCAATTTTACTGAGTCAATTGTCTTTTTTCCAAGGACAAACACGTGTGATAGAAGATCTCCAGATCTGCTGGCACGCTGAGAGCTCTGGGCCATCAGGCCTTTCACTGTCTCAATTCATCTGTCAATAAAGCACCATGCCCATTAAGGCCGGAGAAATGGAAAGGGATGTTCGTGGTCCACCCAGCAAGGATTAAATGCCATGTTGCACAAACAATGGTCACTCAAGATTTCCCAGTAGAAGGGCTGAAACTCCTGACCACAACTCATGCTGCCCTCCTAACTGAAGCAGAAGGGAGAATAAACATCAGGGACATTATTTTGTACCAGAAATCCCTTGCAACAGGTGATGTGACTGGGATAGGATCTTGTTCAAATCACGTGGTGCTGAAACAAAGACTGAATTCCCTCA